AGCAGCAGGGAATGGAGCAAGCTAGTGACTGGCTGGTTGATTATTAATGTTATTAGGAGAGTACTAGAGGAGAGCAGCCTAAGGGATGATTTGCGCCTGTGTGGAATATTGTGTGTTATTGCTGACACCGAGAGCAGCAGTTAAAAATTCAACACATTTGCTTGGCAGTGAGGGTCTAGTGGTGCTGCTTGCAAAGCAGCATGACCAGGAACAAACAGCACTAGAGTTGGTCTTTTTCTTTAATTATTATTTTCAGTTTCCCTCTCTTCTCAGCTCTGGCAGAATTCAGTCAACCACTTTCTCTGGCTTCGCCCTCTCTCTCTTTCTTTTTCTTTTTTTTTTTGCGGGGGGCGAGGCGGGGGGAGGAAGGGGAGAAGCAGACTTGTCTGCTCTCGTGATCTCTTTCTTGCCTCTGGAATGCACAATGCTGAAATACTTCTGATGGCGCAAACCAATGGGCTCTGAAAATGTGGCCACGGATTTTTAAAAGTTCGCTCGCATGAGAGTCAAACCATTAAATGAAGTGGCTGTGATGCGTTCCCTCTAAGCGGTGACATCTGCGTTTTTGATGATGAATAGTTGGGTGGGTTCAAGCGCCCCCCCGTGAACCGTTTGCCTTGTCAAATATGTTTGTGTGTGTGTGTGTTTGCTTGCAGAACCTGCCTTTGGGGAAGTGAACCAGCTCGGAGGGGTGTTTGTGAACGGGAGACCCTTGCCCAATGCCATCAGGCTCCGGATTGTGGAATTGGCCCAACTGGGCATCAGACCCTGTGACATCAGCCGACAACTGCGGGTTTCCCATGGCTGTGTCAGCAAAATCCTGGCTCGCTACAATGAGACTGGCTCCATCTTGCCCGGGGCGATCGGAGGCAGCAAGCCTAGGGTCACCACCCCCACGGTGGTGAAACATATCCGGACCTACAAACAAAGAGACCCGGGCATTTTTGCCTGGGAGATCCGAGACCGACTGCTGGCGGACGGCGTGTGTGACAAGTACAATGTGCCTTCGGTCAGCTCCATCAGCCGGATCCTCCGGAACAAAATCGGAAACCTCTCGCAGCAGAGTCATTACGAATCTTACAAACAGCATCAACCCCCTCCCCAGCCGGCTCTGCCTTACAACCACATATACTCCTATCCCAGCCCCATCGCTGCCGCAGGAGCCAAAGTGCCGACCCCGCCAGGAGTGCCCGCAATCCCCAGCACCATGGCAATGCCTAGGACCTGGCCCTCTTCCCATTCGGTCACGGATATCCTGGGCATCAGGTCCATAACAGACCAAGGTAAGACACGTATTGGTCCCCTAGGCACACTACGTTGATAGCAAAAGAGGGGGGCTCTTAACGCCTAATATATTTATCTCTATAGTTTGTAAACCATAGATCTATTTTCTGCAGCACACACTAAAATCGGGAACATATTTAATAATGTTTTCTATAGGCGTATGCTTTTTGGACGTGTAATATACACAATACTTGTGCAATGGTAAAGATAGAATTTAGCGATGACAATTTAGCTGAAAATGTGGTACGTCCACATTAATACTCTTTCTCTGTATTATGACTTCTTTATCTGTGTATGGCTTCCTTATTAGTCATTAATTATATAACGATCTTGCATGCTTTGTGTGTATTACATATATTTGTTACCAAATCCAGCATTCATGAGTAAAAACATCTCGAAATTACAAGGAAATTTAGTTTCTCTCGTTTTTGCAATTAGGCCAAATTTGCTCAGACAGGAAGTTCAAATGTCACCTAATTGCTTTCATTCTTATGTTTTACTTTGTTTTCCTCCGAACTGGTGGTCCAGAAAAACGAAACCTCTGATACTTAAGTTGTATCTATCCTTTTCCAAGTAACTGATTTTCTTCTACGGTCTTTCTCTTCTTTAGGCTAGAAACATTAGCTTCTCGCTGAACAAAGTCTCTGTCATTTGTAGCAAAAAAGAACATTTTAAGTGTAGTTTTTTTGTTTAGTAACAAACATTACATATCATCAAAGGAGCATATTTTAAAAAATAACCCTGGGCTGTCGCTGTCACTGTTTCCTACTCTTGGATCTGGAGTTTGGCTTTCTGTTTTCCTTGCATGCCTTCAACTACACAAGTTGTCTACACATAATATCTATATAACACACACTCCAGATCTATTGGTGGTGGAAGGGTTTTACAAGCAAAGGCAACCCTCCTCCCCTTTCCCCGCAGGTTGGACACCGATTCACAATATAACTTCCACAAACAAAAACAAACAACCTCTCCCCAACCAAACGTATGTGCGTGTGGATCCAGATGTAGAAAATATACAGGACAGAGTGTGTTCCTTCGGCGGGGGATGGAATGTCTGAAATGAGCATTACAGGGAAAATTGAATTAGAAATCGAGAGGGTTTTAATGATTTCCTCCTTTATTAACACCACATTGGCCACAGGGCCCTGGTGCCATTGAGTGTTTAGAATTATCTCCCCCTCTATCTCAGGCTTGGGGACTTACACAATTTACTACAATATAAATTCGCGTCTCCCCCAAGCCACGGCTGGGACTGCGGAGCCGCAGAAGCTGCACATGCGGGTTGTTGGCTCTTGATTTGTAGGATAGGTTGACCTTGCTGACATTTAAAGGAAGCCCCTATTCCTGGGAAAGTGTGAGCTCAGCAGAAAAGGGGGCTTGCAGAGAAAGCTCGGTTTCTTCACGCGAGGGCTCGATCCTCGAGGCAATGGGAAGGTTTGCTATTGATTCCCGCGGGAAGAGGCGTGGGAGCCTAGCAAGCGCACTGAGCAGCTCGGGGGCAGGTGGGTTAGGAGAACCCCTTCTCCGCTCAGTGTGCCGGCTCGCTCTCCAGCGGGAGGCCAACCCGTTTTCGTTGCCTGTAAAAGTTTCCGCGCCGCGAATCCCCAGCAGAGTCCGATGCGTGATTCCAGAGCCCTATCCGTGATTTTCAAACGGGTTCCCTCCCGGGCTGGGGCGCTTGTAATTGTGCTGCCGTGCCAGAGGTGTGCACAACACGGTTGGGGTTGCCCTCGGGACAAAGAAGGGACACTGTTCCGTTAAATCTACCTGGCAAATAATTCTGTCAAGCGCCGAGTTATTATTGAGCAATTTTCTCCTCTAAATTACCTGCTGTCAAGAAAAGCTGATGACGAATGTTTCGAAACAGCCCTGAGGCTTGTACTAATCGGTTTATACTACCTGGGCTTTTATTATTATGTTTGTGTTTTAATTAAATACGGGAAAGAAACATTGAAAGTTTTAGTCCCTCGAATACAAGCGTGAACAATTGATCTTTTCTCCCATTGTCCGCTCTCTCTCTCTCTTTTATTTATCTGTCTTCAAGCCCTACCTCCAAAGACAAACCCAATATGTTTTCTATACAGAGAGGGTGGCAGGATGGGGGTGTGCACACAGAGAGGTGCCCCTCCACACCCAATTTCTACGTATACCGATTACATGTACGTAAAAAGATATGCAAAGAACACGCATATATGTCAATATGATCCGTAATTTACACATCGAGTATTTTTAAAAGAAAATGTTATAAGCACTTCCTGAGTTTTCTAAACAAGCATTAGAAGTCTCCGTCAAATTACCAAAACCTTTAACTCAGTTTCTGGCCGGTTGGAGAAGATGGGTGCAGACAGTCTATATTGTACAGAAATTGAACTGCTTTTCAAACGTCTTTCACTTCATGCAGCAGGAGACATGCTTACAGCATCTCAGGAACCCAAGCTGCTGTCAATATTGCAAAGGTGTCCAGGTGGTGCCAGTCAGACCTAATCGGCTATTTTTCTTGATTGCGTGGCTAGGACCAGGGAGGCTTTGTCACTCCGCTGAGACAGGAGTCCTGGCCTCCGTTTTCCTAGGGGCCTGGGTTTCAGCTAAAGTCTTGGGGAGAGGTGTGTGGTGGGAGGGGGGCAGCCTGCGAGCGCACACAGCAATTCCTGCCCCAAGTACACTGCCTTGGCTCTTCGCAGCTCATTTTCGGACTCTAACGAGCTGTGCCGCGTGTCTCCCCACAGTGAGTGACAGCTCGGCCTATCACAGCCCCAAAGTGGAAGACTGGAGCAGCCTGAGCAGAAACAGCTTCCCCCCTTCCGCCCAGCACGCTGTGAACGGGCTCGAGAAGAGCTCCCTGGAGCAGGAGGCCAAGTACAGCCAGGTAAAGAGCCGGCGCTTGCTAACCTCGGGCCGGGGGGGGGGGGGAGGCTCGG